GGGGGTGGCGGGAGACGACGACTTTTCCCCAAACTCACGAATTCAACACCAGACTGAGGAATCATACCGAGAACACAAACCAGCGCGACCATGGGATGCCCTGGGCTGAGGCCCAGCGCACAACCGCCTAGGTGTCCACAACCAGGGTTCTACGTGTGCTTACCACTGACCTACGGCTCTACAACCAGATGGACGCCCTGGCCCGAGCACCGGAGCCCCTGGCAGAGCAGCCGGTGCTCACAGCCTCCATCTGCGTGCGCGGACCCGGCCAGCAGGCGCCGGCGAGGGAGTCTCACGGGGAGGACAAGGGCCGCTCACTGGAGGATGAAGCCTGGCTGGTGCGGAGGCAGCCGGGGCGGGGGTCTCTGGGGCAGCGCCGGTGGGTACGGTGGCAACACGAACCGCTGCAGGGAGAAGCCCTGCTGTGCGGGGAGGCCCCCGCGCGGGGGCAGCGGCGGGCACTGCGCCACCGGGTGCGGGGGGTCCTGTCCCGAGCTCAGGGCGGCGGCGAACGGCGTGGCTAAGCGTCCCGCAGGCACCAGGGGTGGTGGCGGAGGGATGCGCCGAGGCACCGCGGAGGGCGGCCCGCTGGCCTCCGGGGAGGGGTAGGGCAGGGGGGCAGCCGGTGCTGGCTCGGGCACCCTGGGGGGCAGCGGGGCCGGCGGCAGGCCCTGCGGATGTCTCTGCCCCTTCAGAACCACCTCCTGGAGCTTCTCGATTTTAACCCTTCGCATGTGGGCCAGTTTCCGCTTGCTCTGATAGACATCGATGAAGGAGTCCAGGGGAAGCTCTCCGTCGAGAAACTTCTCTGCCATGTTCTGGAGGAGGAGAAACCTGGTTCACGGGGCAGGTCGGCCGTGAGGACACCCATCCCTTCCCTGTCCCCGGCCGCTCCTGGTGCCCCACCCGGGCCGAGCGAGCGAGAAGAGAGGTGCTGGTCCCACCTGCCGGACAGGCGGCGGGCCCTGGGGAGAGCCCGCCTTAAGGTGAGGGTCCCGAGCTGCTAAGCGCCCGGCCGAGACCAGCGTTTCCTTCCCTCTACTGGCTGCGCCCTGCCAGCCCCACACGGTCGGCAGGACAGAAACTCACTCGCGCCAACGAGGGCCACCCTGCCCGATGGTTCCTCAAAGCACTTGGCCTAGTCCGGCGAGGCTACAACCGCACAACTTTGGACCCTGACTCATTTCCTTACGGCTCAGCGAGGCTTAAGCCTCGGTGCTCAGCTGGCCGTGCCCACAGGCTCTGCCCAGCCAGCTGACGCAGACAGATGGTAACTCAGCCAGCGGCACCCACGGGACGGGCGCCGATTCACAGTGTAGTGTGCACCCCTCACCTGAGGACCAGACTGCCCCCGCTGCCTCCCTGGCCCCCAGGCTGGCGCTCTCCCCAGCCCACCGGCTGGGCTGCTCACTCCGCGCAGCCGGCACGCCTGGCCCTGGGGGAACTGGGCCCAGGCCCAGGTAACTGCCCTGGGGCGTCCCGCTGGGCTGGCTGGATTTACCTCGGTGTCCTCCTCGATCTTGGCCCCTTCTGCCTGCAGAAGTGCTAACAGGGTCTCCAAGGAAGCGCTGCTGGACTGTTTATCTGGAAGAAGCAGGAGGCACGATAGCGTGAGGGGCACTGGCACACCCTCAGAAACCACCATGACCCCCGGCCCCTCAGGATGACACACTCCCCCAGTTACCTCCCCACTTCCCTTTCGAAGAAAGAGTGGACTTTCGCTGGATAGGCGACAGGAGAGTCACACCTACTGAGCAGACTTTCCAGGAAGCTGACAGGAAAGGCCGTAACGGCAGCCAGCGTCACCTTCCCGCCTCACAATACAGAGGCGATTACTGAACATGTGACCTAACCTTGCAACCTAACCCTGCAATTCACCCTATAATTTATTTCCTTTGGAGTTCTGAGTGATAATTTACATAAATACATAAAGTATACACATCTTAAGTGCACCACCTGAATTTTTACATATACAAACCCAACCACCATGATCCAGACTGGGATACAGAGTTTGCAAAGGCTCCCCAGGCCACTCCCAGAGGTGCTGACCTCCACTACCCAAGAGTTCTGCCTGCTTCTGAACTTCACACAAGTGGAATCACACAGTATGTGCTCTGTGCTGGCCTCTTTCGCTCAATACCACGTCTCTGAGACCATCCGTGTTGCTGCACGAATCGGCAGTTCATTTCTTTCCGTGCTTTGTGGCACTGAAAGTTGTATAAGTGTCACAACTTACTCATCATTCTGTAGATGGACACTTAGACTGTTTCCAAATTTGGCTCTCACAAGGCAAGCTATAACGAACAGTCTTGCATGCATCTTTTTATTTTTTTTGCGGTACGCGGGCCTCTCACTGCTGTGGCCTCTCCCATTGCGGAGCACGGGCTCCAGACGCGCAGGCTCAGCGGCCATGGCTCACGGGCCCAGCCGCTCCGCGGCACGTGGGATCTTCCCGGACCAGGGCACGAACCCGTGTCCCCTGCATTGGCAGGTGGACTCTCAACCACTGTACCACCAGGGAAGCCCATTGTGTGCATCTTATGATAGACATGAGTGAATGTTCGCTTCTGTTGGGGAGACACCCAGCAGTGGAGCTGCTGAATCATAGACCATGCCTACTTTTCACTGTAGCAGGTACTAACAAACAGCTTCTCCAATTCTCACTCCTCCCAGCAATGGAAGAACCACGCATCCCCACCAGCACTGGTGTTGCCAGTCTTTTCACCTTTACTCATTCTGGTCGGGTGTGTTACAGTGCATTTTTACTGCAGTTATACAGATACAGGAATCATGGTATCAGACGTCACTGTACACTTCACTGAAGGGGGTGATTTTTTAACCTTCTCTCTCCTTTTTGGGGGGGGGGGCTGTGCCCCTCGGCTTGTGAGATCTTAGTTCTCTGATCAGGGATTGAACCCAGGGCCACGGCAGTGAAAGCACTGAGTCCTAACCACTGTACCACCAGGTAACTCCCCTTTTAACCTTCTCTTAATCTCAGTCTCCTTGAAAGCTACCCCCAATGCACTCAGGCTTCAACAATAGTCAATGCCTGCGTCACTTCATAATGGCTGCAAAGTAAATGTGACATTAAAGTATTCCAGTGATTAATATTTTTCAACATTAACTGTGAGGGCCTAACTTCAAGGATGAAACATTAGTTGTATATCATAATTCAGAAAATTGCCTTTTTTCTATACTGTTTGGAAAAGGTAGAGTCTTGTTTAAAAAGTAGTCAAGGACTTCCCTGGTGGCGCAGTGGTTGAGAGTCCGCCTGCCAATGCAAGGGACACGGGTTCGTGCCCCGGTCTGGGAAGATCCCACGTGCCACAGAGCGGCTGGGTCCGTGAGCCATGGCCGCTGAGCCTGCGCATCCGGAGCCTGTGCTCCGCAACAGGAGAGGCCACAACAGAGAGAGGCCCGCGGACCGCCAAAAAAAAAAAAAAAAAAAAAAGTAGTCAAGTCTCTTCTTCTAAATTACTGACACAATCCTATATATAAACTATTTTTTCACAGCAGTAATGACTGTCTTAATCTGAAATTGTTCCATAATGACATTTCTTTCCTGGTTAGTGCAACAGCTTGAAAATGCACCCTTCCCTCAGCTCTTTATTCTTGAAAGATCACCCTAAAAGAGTTACCTAATTTGGTCTTTTTTATCTGATAGGCTTCAAAGAGCACCTGGAGTTCCTGGTATTTTTGGGTCAAACGTGCTTTCAGAGAGTCCAGCTGGGGCTGGTAGAGAAGGTTTCCTTCTGCCAGGCTGCGGTTGCTGGCCAGCGTCATTTCTTTGTTAAGCTGAACATTCTGCGTCTGCAAAGACCATACAGGGTGATGAGAACCAGCGTGTGAGCCCCGAGCCCCACCCCCGGGGCCACCGCAGCAGCTTCCGTTTGGCTGGGCAGCTGCCCCCATCCCAACGCCAGCCCCGATTTCTAGTTTGGACACTGCTCCCGTTCTTAAAGAGCGAGACCACTTCCTCTCCTCAGGCCTGCAGGACGGGCTTTGTCCCAGGACCTGCTGAAGCTTTTACCCCAGGAGCTGTGCAGTGACCCGAATTCCTTACCACTGCCATTGTGCTCTTAGGAGCGAACGGCTCTAAAGATTTAGAGCTAGAGTTTTCCAAAACGAGTTGCTGCTGTTCCAGAGAAGTGAAAGAACCACTTTTTATCAGGAGGTCCAGTTGGCATCGTGTCAATTCAGGCTTATTCATCAAGCTTTGAGATCAAACGCGAAAGCTCGAGACCCTGGGAAGGAATCCACTCAGGGGCCCTGTTCTACTCTGTCCCTACGCCCGACACCAGCTCTTCACGTCTGAGCAGAGGCTTGAGCCTCCCCAGCTCCTGACCGCCGGTCCATCAGCTCCACTGACCCAAAGCTGGGAGCGGGGATTTATCTGCCCGACAGGGGTCCTGTGCTTCCGGGGGTGACAGGTCACGTGTGGGTAGAGAAGCCCGCCTGAACCTCAGGGGTGAGAGGGGTTAATGCGAGGTCTGAGAAAAGGTGAGGAAGCCCTAATGAAACGTAACCAGAAGTACATTGAATAAAAAGCAAAAATACCAACGTGTCTTACTTCTGGATCAGCCCCCTTTCCACTTGCTGCTGAGGGGCTCCTCCACGGCCTGCAGCCGCCTCGCTTTCTGGATTTGAAGTCTTACTTGCCCCCGTTTCTCTCCAAAGCTCTCCGTCAGCCCCACACCAGCCATCCTGTCCTCCCCTTGATATATTCTACACCCCACCCCACCCAGGCTATTTTCGCTGTTACTTCCTTCCTCTTGCTCGTCTGACTGTAGGTTCCTGGCCTTGCTGCCTCCGCTTCAAGCCCTCCCCCTCCAGCCATACCCTTTGGCGCTAGTGCACAATTCCCAGCACGCGTGCACGCACACGCACGCACGCACACACACACACTCACACGTGTGAGAACAAAGAGCGAGCCTTGGATGCAGGTCTCTAGCAGGAGGCCCTGACCACCGAGTGGGGGGCTCCTCTCCTCAGCAGACACATAATCTACATCTCTCGCACGGACCACAGGGCAGGGCCCTCAAGATTAGGCTCAGGGTAAAGCAAAATTTAAGTTAAAATAGAAAATTAAGCCTCTAGCTCAATACTATAAAACTAGCACAGTGGAAATACTCTCCCCTCTCTCGCTGCTGCTTTCAGCCAGCCAAGGACTGTGAGGGCTGGAAAGACCTGGTTTAACTGGGTTCCTGGTCCTGCAGACTGTGGAGGGGTCCTGGGGGGCTCCCAGCACCGCCCCAACCCCTACACACAGCAGCTCGGCCTCCAGGTACATTGCATCCAGAGGTCCTGCAGAAGAGCCTTTCCTTCGATTAAGCCATTTAAGAGAACATACAAACCAACCATTGTACAGCCACCCTGGAGAACAGCTCGGCAATTTCTTTTAAAACAAAACAGGTAACTACCATACCATCCAGAAATTGTACATCTGGACATTTATTCCAGAGAAATGAAAGTTTATGTTCACACAAAAACCTGCACATGAATGTTCAGAACGGCCTTCTCTGTAATCAAAAACTTGGAGCCACCCAGGTGTCCTTCAGCAGGTGAACGGCTAAATGCAGTACTACACCCACACCATGAGCAGAGCGCAGACCTAAGAAAGAATGGGCTACTGAGACACGTGCAACTTGGACTGAGATCCAGGGGACAGGCTAAGCAAAAGAAACAAACCCGCCCAGAGGGTCACAGACTCCAAGATTCTGTGTATACAACATTCTTGAAAGGACAAAACTACAGAAATGGAGATGGATTCGTGGTTGGGGGTAGGGAAGTGACTGTAAGAGGCGACAGGAAGGCTCCTTGTGGCCACGGTGCCCTGCTCTGACCATATCTGTGTCAAAATTCTGGCTTGGGAGTGGACTAGAATTTTGCAAGATGTTGTCAGTGGGGGAACCCTGGTGAAGGCTACACAGGATCTCTGTGTTATTTCTTACAGCTGCATGTGAATCTACAATTATCTCAAAATTTAAACTTTAATTATAAATAAATAAAACAGACTATTGATGAGATCTTTTGCTCCGACTGGTCTCATCTGATGGACGGGAAGGGGCAGGTATTCAAGGCCACCGTCTGGACCCACTGCCCTGTGCGTGCCATCATTCTGACTCAATCAGTTCTGTGTTCAGTAAACACTTACCGAGCAACTGTTATTTGTCAGGCCCTGAGTGAGACCCAGAGAATTGAGAGGAACAGGCACCCTCCTATTCTCAAACTGAGAATCAGCGAAAATGGAGCCCAACTCGTCAGGCCCTATCTCTGAGCCCTGGGGTGACCTGGCCCTCACTCGCCCCGTCCCGGCAGTTCTGAGAACCAGCCAAGCTCTCCCTGAGCAGGCCCCCGGCTCCGCCTCACTGCCTGGCCCCAGCTGAGCGCCTTGTCCGCAGAGGCCTCCCTGGCCGTCCTCGCTAAGCCAGCAGCTGCCCTCTGTCACAGCACCTGTTTCCTTCCTGCCACCAAAGGCAACCAGTGAGCACTACGTTTGTGCGCCCGCTCACTGTTACCCCCTTTGGGTATCCTGTCATCTGTGGTGTGCCAAACAGCCAGCACACAGCAGCCACTCAGCAAGGATCTGCTGAATCAATCAGAGAGACCCTCTCATCCCCTAAAAAGCCAGTCACTTGAGGCTAGATCTGGCAAACTAGGTGGGTAACAAAATGCAGAGTCAAAAAGAAAAAAACCATGAGCTGTGCTTGCCAAGCAACAAATGCCCCAAATCCTTTATGCAACAGACGGGCTCCCATAATAGAGGAACCCTTGGGGACTGTGGTGGAGGGTCTCACTCGTCCTGGATCTAAGCGCCATCCGATCATGAGTTTCCCCAAGTCTTCAGTGCAGGCAGACCACAAGCATAGGGGTCCCGAGGGGCAACTGGAAAGGCGTGAGGGAAGTGCACCGTCCTAGCACCGCCAAGTGCCAGCCTACCGTGGGGGTCCTCAGCCTCAGGGGAACTACCTGAAGGCAAGGGGGCACTGACAAGTTCCCCAGGCCCAGACCAGCCCCAGATGAGCCCAATTCTGTAGGAGGGGACCCAGGCCTAGAAAGTGTCTTCAAAGGCCCCAGGTGATCCTTGCCTCACAGTTCCACCCTAAAATATATCTACGAATAAAGCTTATTCTCCTGGGGTCCAAGTCAGGTCAAAATCACTTCTCCTACAACATGTCATGCACAGAATGCACAGGCAAAATAAAATTCCAACCAATGGAGACGACCGTTACGCTGACTGTACTCTTTCTATCCCCAGGTACTCAGATGTTTTTACAAGACTATCAGGAAATTCTCAGTGGCCACCCAGGGCACACCCGCACCCTCTCCAGGTGGACAGTGGGGACAGTGGTGGCGGGAGCAGTGGCCAGGGCGTAGGCTGAAGTGGGGAAAAGCCTCTGATAAAGCTCTTCCAGCACAAGCATCGGTGCCCAAACACGCCTTCGATGCTGCATTAGAGAAAGACCTTCCTCCCCAACATTCCTTTTCATCATCCCAGTTGAGGAAAACTGGGAGGAAGCAGCCAGACTTGTTCTATCGTTTGCAAAGGACTTAGGGGGACCCTGCACGCCACATCAGCAAGGCCTAAGGGGCAGCCACCCTGGGTGACGTGCGGTCTGACTCTCCAGCCCCTGTCCTACTGATCTGAGGACCCGTGCGAGAGGAGGCCTCGTGCGGAGCCATACACCCTGAAATTGAAAACTGGGTCCCAGCCTCTTGATGGTTTCTCATGATTCTTTTTCTTAACCACAGAGAAATCTTTTCAGGAAATAAACTCTCTGTGGTAATGAAACATTTTTATAAATGTACTCAGTTTCACTTCAGTTTCCTTTTCTGTTCAAAATCAAAGAAAACAGATATGTGATAGCAGCATTTACAGTAAGATCCATTTATACAGTGATTTCTGCCCATCTGTCCATCCATGAGCAGGGCTGTCTGAACGGATGGTCACCCAAAGCTAATAGCGACCTCTCACTGGTGCGACTTTTTTTTTTTTTTTTTACTTTCCTCTTTCTACTTGTGTATAGTGCTTGAATCATTTATAATAAGCATGTATAAATTTATAGAAAGTAATTGTTTTAATTAAAGAAAAAAAACCTGTTAGGTATTAGTAGAACCAGAAGGGCAGAGGCTCTAGGGAGATAAGCTGCCTTTGTTTACACAAACAAAAAACCAAGGTCTTTTACATATACTTGTCCAGGCAGAGTGGAGATATCGTTGTCTCCTGGGAGGCTTACATCACTATATGACGTTCTCACAGAATGCACATTCTACCTCAAATGCATAGGTCATTACTTATTTGAGTTGGGGGAGTGTGGAAGAAAACACAGTTGGTGAGAAGGGAAACAGACAAACCCTCCTCTGCATGACACATGCAGCAGTTGCAACTGAGAGGCACTCAGGGCCAGGACGGGGGCCTGCCTGCGCCCCACTGTCCAGAGCTGGGTCAAGGTTTGGGTCTGCAGCGGATGTTTTCCAAACCAGATGCTTCCACAATGTGAAGTTCTGATTTAAGCTGGCCTGTCTGCCCCTTCAACTACGATTATAACTGTGCCTTCCTATAAACACTACAATGGGCAAATCTGCCTGTTTCCAAGCTAAATCTTTTATGGAAAAATACTCAGAGTAGTCCCTTATTCCCCCTTTACACTATAATATAATCCTTATCATAACAAAGTAAATGACATTATTGAATTACGTTAGCAAATTTCAACAAAATAGATGGAAATTCTTTTTTTTTTTTTTTTTTTGCGGTACGCGGGCCTCTCACTGTTGTGGCCTCTCCCGTTGCGGAGCACAGGCTCCGGACG